TTTCCCGGCCTTCGAAGGACCCGTCCTACGTAGACCAGTCCTTCGAAGGATGCAGACCCTGAATTCGGACACAGCTCATATGGAGGGGAGATTGACAGCTCTAAGACCCTCCTCCTGAGTCTGATTGGTTGTTTCTACATAGCACTATCACAGAATACTGTCATGTCATAGCAACAGTTTCAACAAAAAAATGTTTTTATGACAGTTACATACTGCTGCTCTAAGGGCAAAGATTCAAAAGTAAGCACATTAACTGAATATGTTGCACACGATCTACAAAGATTGAACATGGAATTGATTATAGGTGCAACAATAGTTAAGACAGCACTATTTAAATGAGGATTTTGTGTGAGCCACAAGGTATCATCATGGACAGTGATGGAGAGCAATGGCCATAAAAGAAAAATGAACTAGAAAGTCAACATGCTGGAGTAATATTAAAATGCATTTCATTTAAATTAGTATACAAAGTGACGATCAGTAAAAGTATTTAAACCATAATATTTTTCCCTGTATCAGTAGATGCATATGGCTTTGGTTGATTTTAAGATAATCTGTCAGGTCATGACATTAAGCGGGTTTAGAAACAATGCCAGACCATTTCTGAAGAAAGACTTCTACAGATGTTTCATAGGTGGCTCTTCAATCTGCCAAATTTTACAGACTTTTTTAAATAGTAAAAGTTTGTGTTTCTCATCAATAAATGTAAAGTACCTTTCACTGATTGCTTCAGTTTCCCTTTCTTTGTCTTTAAGAGCAGCTCTGTGGAGTAAAAGATGAAACATGTAAAACAGCTCAAACTGAAAAAAATGCATGACTGAAGAAACACTGGAGTTAGTCAGTTGAAATGTATTACATGGATTATTTCTGCTTAATTTACTTCTGAGTTTTTATAATGTATTGGCTAGATGAGATGTTCCCGCTTTTCATGCAAGTCTGCACCGGATTTAAAATGTATTATGTTTACATTTATTAGTGGTGGAATGTGATTAAAATTTTTAATCAAATGCAGGGTGTGTAATTAATTAATCAGAATTAATTTTAAAACTATATATTGACAGAATAAGAAACATTTTCAAGCCAAAACCCTGCTGCTAAAGCATTGAGTAAACAGAAATATGATGTATTTTAGGCTTGAATAGCTCCAGTTTGCACAACGTGAACACAAATCTTTTCCAGCGTCCCATTAGAGTGAATTTTGAAGCAATATAGGTCTGTTTCCAGAGGGCCAAGAGAAACAGCTTTGTCATCCATTGTTGCTGTTTGCAGATATGCTTGTAGATTGGCTTGATGGGCGTACCAAAAACTCACAAATAGGTTTAATTACGTTTTAACACTTCAAAATCTATGTGACCACTTAATTGAAATTATATCTAGACAACTCATCTCACCAGGGGTTTGGGTTACAAAGCTCTAATATAAACTGGTCTGGTTTCTGGTTGGAAACCTGTCGCCATAAAACTTGAACCTGGTAAAACACAAGATTAATCCAAAATTAAGACGGAGCCTTCAAGAACCTAAGTGGACTCAACCAGCGACTTATCAACATAACTAGGTCTTGAACAATGTCATTACTGAGGGATCAGTTCATCCCATCACTATCAGAATTTACTATAAAAACATTTCTCACCTACAGTCTGCTCAGAGGTTAATGTCAACCCACCAGGAAAAACAAGAAAAGCCACTCCTCTGGAAGAGATGGTGGCTATTTGTTGACAAGAAAGTTGAAACATCCATCTTTGCTAATCCATCACAGAGGACAGTAAACACATCTCAAGATGTGTTTACTGTCTTGCACACCTACATACCAACGTACCATGAATTCCTTTCTGTTTCACTTATCAACTAAACCTATTTGTGCACTTGGCTCTTTTGCTGGAGGATTTTAAAAACAGCATATTTTTGTTTAGCTCTAGTCAAATTTATCCAAAAAGTTACCGTGTCTTCTTATGTTGCTGTTGTTGTTTGTCTTCCACAGTTTCAAGTCTTCATGCAAACATGAGACGTGTTGGTAATGTAAATCAGAACATAGGAAAAAAAACAAAAACTGTCAAACAGCTGCAATGAGTTCAATGAATCCAATGTTAAGAACATAATCCAAAAAATGTGATCTGAAAGCCTGGTCTGTAGTAACAGACTATGGACCTGTGAAGGGAGTAAAACTATGAAGAACAAATGCTCAGAAATTTTCTTTAGTTTTACTCCAAGAATCATTTGCTGAGGTACAGTACCGTTTGTTGAGGAAGGTCAGGTTTTCTTCTGCTTGTTCTAACATACATCTGAACATAAAATGCACAGAATTAAAAAGGGACAAAGAAAGATGTACTAAAGAACATCTTGTGTACATGCTTTTGCTTTTAAATTATTTGCACACCGTTTCAAAAATAAAAATCACATATTTACCTTATCTCATTATGCGACTGAAGAGAAGCGAAAGCCATTTGTTCAACTTTTAGAAACAACAAGGAGTATTAATTATGATACCATCCATGAGACAAGATATTCTTTAATTAATCCAGCAATTATTGAATCTTGTTGAATTAAGTACACACATAATTTCTACATATATTATTCCATAAGAGTAGAAACAATGTTTTTTTTCCAAGAGCACCACTGTGTTTCTTCACAGAAATGTGTTTTGACAGTACCACATGTCCCTTGGCAATTATCAGCTATATATGCAATATTTTAAAAAGTCCAAAAATTTTACATCTGACCAACTACCAAACAATACTGAAGTTATTTTGGAGGATTTAGATTTAACCACACCATTTAACTCCTTTTATGCAATGTGCTGAACTCTGAATACTTCATGTTTTTTTCCCCACATATTTTAGCTGTTCTACTTGTTTATGAAGCCAAGTAAATATATCTTTAGATTAAAAACAGAATATATTGGAAATAAATTGCACATGTAGTTTATGCAAACATTTCGTTATATAACTTAGTTTAAACTAATGCACTTACTTGGAGTTACAGTCGTATCACTTTTCTGTTGCTCTAGTTTTTGTTCAAACTGAATGCTTCAGCCAGATGACATTCTTAAAAATCAAGATGTCGCTTCATAGAAAGGTTGGACTTCCAGTCCGTCCTGCCAAGTAAAAGTGTATGTATAAATATCTACCTGAAACAGTTCCTGATTCTTCTCCTCAGCACAACCTGCAGAACCTGTTCCAGCAATGGGGGAATCTTACATCATATGTATAGACTTTGGAACAACATACAGTGGATATGCTTTCAGTTTGACATCCAGAGAAGAAGAAGTAGACCCCCATGTGAAGTTTTGGGGTGAAGAAGTTGGACTAAAAACCCCAAAGACTCCAACCTGCATCCTGTTTGATGAACATCAACAGTTTGTCAGCTTTGGATATGCAGCCAGACAGACCTATTTAAGAAACTCAGGCAAAGAATCCAGAGCAAAGTTCTTCTTTGATCGTTTTAAGATGTCACTCTATGGCAAAGTGAGTAATCAATATTTATCAACAATATATTTGAGCTTTTTAGTCTAATATAATCCATTAATGCTGAAGTACATCTCTTTAACAAAAAATATATAAATTTTTGCATATATGTTGACTAGAGATAGTAAAACGGTAAAAAAAAAATTAGCTCCTCTGCCTTTTCCCAGTGCTGACTAGAAAACCAATCAGAGCCAGGAGGAGGGTGTTAGTGCTGTCAATCACCCTCCTTAAGGCACTACAACTGCAAGCTGCAGTTTCCTCCTGACATCAGAGCCTATCAGGCTTCTTAGCATGGTTGATTGACAGCACTAAGCCCCTCCCCTTGACTCTGACTGATTTTTGATCAGGATTGGTTCATTTCTTCAAACGGTAGAACATATGTTTTAAAACATTTACACACTGCAACTTTAAAGTACATTTTTATTCTTACACTGCTGATGTTATTAGAACATGATGTCTGCCATAAAATTCTGTTTTTTATATCTGAATGATGTTCTTTTTATATTCGTCTTTACTGAATTATAATAACTGTCAAACAGCATTTTAAGGTAACAAATGGCATTCTGACAGTGACAGTGGATTTTTATATCTGAAGTTCTTTTCAGTTGTTTTATGAAGTTTTTTTTATTATTTTCGAGCTAACTATTAACCTGTTTGTCGCGAGAGGACTAACTACATTTTAATATCTTGCAGATATTATAACAACATATTTCTACTACAAAATTCTGACAGTGCATGGGTTTTCTATTCAGTATGATTATCTCTTTATGCTTCTATTAAGTGAACTAATATAATTATCAAATATCTCCAGAAAGTCACCACAGATATGATAATCAAAGCAGCCAATGGGAGGGAAATGAAGGCTCTGACAGTTTTTAAAGAAGCTTTAAGGTTCCTGAAGGAAGACGCTCTGAAAACCATTCAGCAAAATCCTGAAGGAAGGAACTTCACAGCCTCTGACTTCACCTGGGTGCTGACTGTTCCTGCCATCTGGGATCATTCAGCCAAACAGTTCATGAGAGAAGCTGCAA